GCGCGTTCATATCGCTCATGTACGATAATTCTTTCGTGTATTACTATTTTATAAAATTATGATTTTAAAAATTTATAATAAATAAGAGAGAGAGAGAGAGAGAGAGAGAGTGAGTGGGGGGTTGGCGAAGGAGGGGGGGGGGAGGGGGAGAGAGAGAGAGAGAGAGAAAGCGGGAGAGAGACGAAGAGCGGGAGAGAGAGGGAGGGTGTGAGTGAGAGTGAGTGAGTGAGAGTGAGTGAGGGGAGAGCGGAAGAGGAGGGAGCGGGAGAGAAAGAAAGCGAATATGTGTATATGTACACGCCATATGATCATACTATAACATTTCTATAAATACAAATTTTATAAATAAATTTGATTTTATGACAAATACTATTTCAAATTACAAATTCTTACAAACTGAATTGCTTCTAAGTACTTGGCTAGTTAACTATTGATTACATATTTAGTTTTTATTTCTTATTATTTAGGAAAAATTTTTTATAAATTATTTTTTAGATATATACTTGGCGTATTTTTTTTATCTTTGTGAGGTTTTTTTTAGTTGTTATTATATATTTAATATGAATATGACACAAGTCCATTCTATTGAATAAACGCATGCATTTTAACAGTATATAATTATTTCTAAAATGTATTCTAATAAATGATATAATCAAAAAAGATCAAATATTTTTTGCATTTATTGATTTATTAAATATGTTTATATATCACGGAATAGTGCAACACAAGAAGAAAAGTAATAAAATGGTTAACAGTTATTAAGAATATCGCGGAATAGTGCAAAGAAGAGAACTGATTTCTTCTAATCGATGTCATATTGAGCAAAGTTAGATTATATTAGTGAAACTGAGCGAATGTTTACATTTGAGTGAATCTGTGCATTGTCAATTAACATATTTTTCATAAATACATTGTTGAAAAATAATTATGGAAGATTTTGGCTGACCATGTTTTCGAAAACGATAATGTAGTAATTATATCTGCGCATTCGTATATAATGTTTATTTAATTTTACATTTAAATGTGATTAATGCATATAATTAATATTTTTAAGTTAACTTACATATGGCTAAGCAATGAGTTTATGTTAATAGCAAAATAAATTTTGTGACAATTCTACCAAAAATATCATAAAAACAACAGCATTAAATACACATTTTTAATTGGCATAAAAAATAATGAAATGATAAAATCATATCGAAATACTTCTATAATCTACAAACATCGTGTGGATCTAGAATTACTCGTAACTTTTAGTAAGTTTTGGAAATATGTGAATTATTATAGATGAGATGTATCATTTCTCAGGATTGACTGCACCAATCTTATTCAATCTGGTCGCAATCGAAAGCTTGTGTTCGCATTATATAATAAAAGTGCCGTTAGATTTTTGATTACGGCTTTAGTTCCTGAAATATTTTAATAAAAATTTTATTTGATGTGAAATTTCGGATAAGCTTCTTGGTAGCGCCGCGGCCCTGTATAAGCAAAAACTATTGACATGCCGGAAAGAATTTTTTTATATACTTGGCGTCGCGACGCCACCGCGTCGCTTGATCTTTTCGGTATCACTTTATTTTTCCGCTTGAAGAGATCGCTACCACAAAGCTTGTGGATCAGTATTTGATGAAAAGATCCTCACAAAGAATTAGTGAATAGAAGAAACACAGAGAATAAGACAGAGAGGAACAATATAGCAGAGACAGATTTCTTTCTGCTTGATTCGATTTCCCTGTCGTAAAGAAAGAGAAAATTTCTTTATATTAATTTCTTATATTATAAATTAGAGTGTGCAAAGTTAAAAAATAAATATCAATTAATTTTCTTTTTAAACATAATATAATTATTCATTATATGCACTCGTCTTTTTATATATTAAAAATATTATGATCGCGGTTTCAATAAAAATAAAGCTATACAATGAACGTAATTCAGTTTCAATAGAACGATTGTGACCTAAAATCAGAAAAAAAATTGTGTCTTTACAGAGATAGAATACGACTGTATTAAAAGAATCAGCTGTAAAGAATTATTTCATATTTTAATGAGCTTTAATTATTAGCGACGTTAAGTTTTTCATGATTTTATGGTCACACGGTTGAAGGTAACATAAAAATTGTTGTTAAAAGTTTAATTATTATTAAAAAGTTAATAAGTAATTTATTAAAATTATATTTCATATTATATATGTATATATATATATACATAAAAATTTTTTCTATGTTTTTTTCTGCTGTAAGAAATTAATTTCACGGTGAGATTTGTTCGCGCTGTGATTAATTCGGTCTTTCTCTTTCCGACTTACTTTTTCTGCGGTGTATCTTTATTATGTTCTTAGCATCATTCATAATCGCCTAAAAGCGCATTACATCCACAGTTTTATTTTTGAAAATTGATGCTTTAAGAAATTTTGAAACATAAAGCAAATGCGTTTCCGAGATGCATAGCGTCGAATGACTGTAATAATTTTCAACATGATAGCAAGAAACACGCATTTTTTTCAATTATTTTGCTGTGCGTTTTATTAAGGAATTGAAGAATATTCACAAAAGAGATGAAGAAATAAGAGAGAAATTATCTCGAGATAAGTAGATTAAACCCATCATTAAATATATAGAGAGCGAATTGACGATAAAAACAAAGAGATGTGATAAAAACAAAGCATTGACGATACGATAAGGAATTTATGGAAGACGTGACGATCGGGAAGTGTGAGAGAGAAGGGAAGGCTTGATCTCAAGGATGACATAAAATACTAGACGAAGGAAGAGTTTAAATTTAAGGAATTCAGAGATAGAAAAGTGGAGGAAAGACGCGGAAAGAATTACGAGAAAATAAGATAAGAGAAGAAAAAGTTGGCAAAAACGATGAAACAGATTGTTGATGTCAATGGGGATGTTGCGAACTCGAAGAAGATAAAAAAGGAATACGATGTCGTACGAGAGAAGAAAGACGGAACTGGCAAAGAATCTGTACATAAGGAGGATGAATTCAAGCATGCTAAAGACAACGAATGCGCGCAACATATGATACTGCCAAGAACCGAGCAACAGTGGACACGATGCGAAATTGTAGGGATGAAACTGCAAAAGAAGGAAATGGTTTATTCAATCCAGCACCCTTATTCTGTAACTTTTTAACGCTGCGTTATAGGGTGCGGTCGATTTGCCGCTCTCGAATGCTTTGAACGTTTTCGTTTGCAACGCTTCCATGGAACGGTCAATTACCGCTACCAACGTTGTCAACGCGATCAAATCGACCGGTCTAAAGTGTTTCTAAACGTTGAAATTAGTATTTTGAACCGTAGGCAGAATGTGAAATTGGTGGAATAACAACGAAAAACATTTTACTGGAATTTTAGAGTGGAATTGGTTAAATATGAATAATAATATTATTGCAATATGTATTGCGAAAAATTATTTAGAAAGTACTAATGATATGTATGATAAAGATATAATAAACATCATAATAACCTATGAAAATGAAAATAATAAAAATCGTATTCGTAATGTTTATAATATTGAAAATTACGTTGAAGTACCATCACTCAGTAGCGAATCTTTTAAATCACATTTTCGGTATGTAATAATTATCATTATTATAATAACAGTTTTATTATAACTAATATCTTGTTTTATATTGTAACTTAATTTGTATACAAATTGTATTAAGAATCAGAAATTTATACTCATTTATAACATATAACTTGCAATTATTTGATAACCAGAATGCTACCTTCTACATTTGAGTTTATTTTGAATGAGATTGGAGGGCAACTTTGTCGGATGACTGAGGGACATAAAATGGTGCCTGCAGAAAAACAACTCTTATTAAGTCTATGGCGTTTTGCAACTTCAGATTCAGATACAGGCAAGCATATTAATTACTTATTATATCAACTTTTGTATCTTAATACAATTATATGGAACAATATTTTCTTTTTAAGATCAATAATTCATAGGTTTAATGTTGGTAAAGGCACAGCAATAAATAGTGTGCGCCATGTGGCTAAAGCATTATGCAAGCTTTCACCAAGATTTATAGTGTGGCCTACAGAAAATAAAATACATAATATTATATTTGGTTTTTCTGACGTAAATGGTTTTCCTGATGCTATTGGGGCTATAGATGGAACACATATAAATATACCTGCACCTACAATAAATCCAGAAGCTTATGTCAATCGAAAGGGGCATCATTCAATTCATTTGCAGGTTATATTTTAATGTTTTTATCTAATAATTACAAAAGACATCAATAATCTTTCAATTTTAGTTAAAGTATTTTCAGATGAAATATATTGGATTGATATTTATATGTGATTGATCACTTGATAATTTAAACTTAATAAATTAAACTTTCTATTGCTTATTAATTTGATAATTTATTATTAATTAGTTAAATACTTTATGAAGATTAATAATATTAAATTTGTCAATAATTAATATAAACAAAGATTTCGCATTTTTTTACAGGCTGTTTGTGATCACACGAGATATTTTACACATGTCTATGTCGGAAATGTGGGTTCTGTTTATGATTCTCGTGTTTTTCGTTTATCGACTCTACAAGAATATATCAATAATCCAATTAAATTTCCAAATAATACACATTTAATTGGAGATGCTGCTTACGCGTTACATAAACATTTATTAGTGCCTTATCCAGATAATGGCCATCTTACACAAAATCAGAAGAACTATAATTTTTGTCATTCTTCTACTAGAATGGTAATCGAAAGAGCATTTGGTTTTTTAAAACGACGTTGGAGAAGTCTCTTACATGTTCTGGCAGTGAATCATGTGGATTTTGTACCTTATCATATATTAACATGTTGTATCCTGCACAACATTTGCTTGTTGCAAAAAGACGAATTGCATATGCAAGACATTGTCATAGAAAATGAAGAAGCAGGATTACAAAGAGACAGAGTTATTGAGTACAATGACAGAAATGTTGCAATAGCTAAAAGAAATAATATATGTGCAAATTTAGCTATAAGAAATAGCTAATATATGTGATTTGAATATGGTATATGTAATATGTTCACGTATAAAAACAAATGCAATATATTAATATATGCTAATATTAATATTTATTATTAATTAGGTTAAGAATACAAGTTTTTCTTAATACGTATGTTTAATATAATAATATATATCCTTAGAAAATGTAATTATTAAATATAATATCTATTTTTAAAGAATTATTTTTTGTTATGAAAATAAAATAGAAACTTAGCAACATATTGTCTTCAACTTATATATATTATCACATATTGATATTATAAAAAACCTCTTTGTTTGTAATAACAAAAATTAAAATATTTTCTTTGCTAATAGTACGAAAAAAACTGTAACATAAAACAAATAAACTACAACACACACAAAAATTTCCTCTTAAATAATTATAAAACAGTTTTCTTAGAATCAATTATTACTTTAACAATTGTAATATAGAAAAATAATTATGTTAAATGTAATCAGTCTTCTTCAGAATAAACAACTCATGCCATACGTTATTTCTCAAGTAATTTGCCCAACATATCAAGTAATTTATCTTGTCGTGCCATTGCTTCTTCATGCATCTTTTTTCGTGCTATTATGTTTTCCTTAAGCATTTGTTACAACATAGTATGCTTTATTTTCCCTATAATTGCAATATATATTGTCATAAACAATGATAAAATAAATATATAAATATATGTAAGTATGTAAACTATGTAAATATGTATACTATCCCTTATAATTTCAATAATGTTAAAAATCTTGATATATCCATATTACGCACCATACATACATACACACACACACACACATATATATATAATATTTACGTTTGATAGGCAGTTTAGCTCTCATTGAAGGCGGAATGTTTTCATTATTATTATCCTCTACAGAAGATATCGGAATTGGATTACCAGAATCTAATGTAGAAATTGGAGCCATCCATGATTTTTTGTTGAATATTTCATCCATAACCTGTAATATTGGAAATATGTTTAAATGTAAATAGGCATTATTGCTCCAAATAAAGTTGAAAGCACATATAAAATAAAAAAATATTTATTACATAAAAAAGTAACAATTATAGCATACACCGTAACCGTCTCAATAAAAAATATAAAAATATTTCATATAAAATATATTCATTCTACTTACATTAAAATATCGCCATGTTCGAGTATTATTACCGCTCTTTGCATTATGATCCTTGACATTTTTATATGTATTTTTTAAGCCAGCCATTTTACTTTTGCATTGTGTACCAGTAATATTGTGGCCTTTTTCGATTAATAGACTAGAAATCAAATCCCAAAACTTTTTTACTGGCATCTTATTTACCAGATGTCATTTTATCTTCATGCTTTTGGTATATAGAAAGAAGTAAAAGAATTGCTTCATGAGGCCAACGAAAGCCATCTGTAAAATAATATATTCGTTTTTAGATTTGTTCTATTTATATATCAAAATAAGTTTATTTTCATTCTGAAATATAGCAAACTAATATATCATACCTTTTTCATCAAAGTCAGAAAGTTCCCGCACTTTCTCATTGTCATGCTGTATATTATCATCATAAGAAGACGTTGAAGCTTCTACAAATATATATATATATATTTCTATAACATTGACTATGTACATTATGATTATAATTATAATTTTTAATAATAATACTTAACATAAGATTAATAACTATAAAAATAACTAATAAAAGATTTGTCATTACCTGATTCATTAATTGTCTGAGTTTGATTCAATTTTTTTTGCAATAGATGCGTTGCAAACAACATATCTGTTTAAAAAAAAAAGAGATCTAAATATTAGAATTTTATTCCTTTCTTAAAATTACACAACAAAACATAAATATAGATTATACAGGTATAAAAGTTATAAGTATAGGTTATAAATATAGATTATTCTTAATACCTTTATTAGTTTTTGAGAGTTCCTCTTCTGACACTTGTAGAATGTAAGTATTTTGGCTGATTGGATCGAATAACGAAAGATTTGGCATTTTGCACATCAATTTATAAATATATATATCACATATTACATATATACACCCAATACCTTGTACAATTTACTTGTTGTTAGCACGCAATTCCCCATTTCCCGCGTTTTGCAAGGATTCAAATAAACGCTTTAGCCGTACTACCTCTCCGGCTGTAGCATTGGAAGCGAAATGGAAGGGGATATCTATGACGTTTCAATGACGTCATTAATACTGCTGAAACGTTTCCAAATGTTAAATCGACCGTACTCGAAACGCTTCGAAGAACTTTTAGCGTCTATTCGACTGCATCCATAGTTATAACGCATGCGTTATAGAGCTCATAACATACGTTTTACGATTTCGTATTCCGTAAGTATATTTTAATATAAGACATAACGAACGTTGCGTTAAGCAAACGTTAAATATGAGTTAAATTGTATATTACTAAAAAATCATATTTTGTAAGCTTATTTAACGCAATTTATAACGTGTTTCTTTGCGTTACATAAAGTAACGCTAACGCTGAGTGTTTGACGACGTTAAACTTAGACGACGTTACTTCGTAACGCACAAACATAAAATTGTAAGTGTAATCATCTTTTTATTATACAATTCTTTTAGACATTTTATAAAATTATAACATAGTTTGTATAACAGATTTTTATTCCATATTTTTATATTATATACATTTATTATTTGACGTGTTTATTAAAATTTTCTATTTCTGTTATCAAAATAAGGTAAAAAAAAAAAAAATACGCAAGTATATAAAAAAACCCCAACATGTACGCAAAAAAAGTTTAATATCTATCCCTACAAAATAACTTTTAAAAAAGTTTTTCCTTGAAAAATAATTTTCATACAAAATAAAAAATTAAAAAAAGATTTTCCTCCAAAAAATAACTTTAAAAAATAAAAACCTTTAAAAAATCAAAAATCAAAACTAAATGAAATCAATAGTTAACTAGCCAAGTATTTAGAAGCAATTCAGTTTATAAAGATTTGTAATTTGAAATAGTATTTGTCATAAAATCAATCTTGTATTTATAGAAATGTTATAGACAGATTCACAGATTCACGGGTTTCTATGAAATTAAAACACATTTTATTTTTATTAACAGAAATCTGATTTTCAAAATAAGTTCAACAATTTTGAATATTGTATATCACAAATTACACTATTATAGAGTTTATTAAGGGTATTATATGCTATAA